GGGCCATATCCGCGTCTTTGGTGCAAGACCATGGTGGCATTCTAATGCCGGTGACTTTTACGAGTCGGACCCTTAAGACCAACGAGTTGAACTACAATACGGTGGAGAAAGAAGTGCTGGCTTTATTGTGGATAATGGAAACTTGTTTTACGATGTTGGTCACTCGACCCCTAAAGGTCCTGACGAGGCATTCTGCATTGGCGTGTCTAGTCAGGTCTACGGGTTTACAGGGATGGCGTGGTAATTGGGCTGCCCTCTTGTCCCAATCGACTATGGAGATTGACAAATGCAAGAAAGGCGAGGACCAAGTACTGGGGGAGCTCGCAGCCAGTACTACTCCTCGTGAAAGTGTGGACTCGATTTTGTCGTCAATTGCCCCCAAGAAACAGGCACGACATGTGGTCGACCTGCCTACACCAACTGTGGAGCCTGACGAAGCGTTATACGTCATGAGCTTTAATGGGTCCGCCCGAGTGAAACAGGGAAGTGAAGCCTGTAGCGCTATTGTGTGGAGATTACCTAATTGTACCATAGTCAAGGCTGCCTCAAAGTTACTTGTCACCTCTACAGTGAATGAGGCCGAGTATGAGGGTATGCTACTGGATTTCGACCTGTTAGAGCCTCTAGAACGACGGCAGCTAATTATCTGTGGAGATTCCAACTTAGTGGTACGACAAATGCGGGGGGAGATCGAGTGTAAGGCTGCAGGATTGTCGCAATTACAAGCAAGAGCCTTAAATAATCTGCCGTCATGGCCCACCCAAGGAATCGTGCACGTAATACGTGATTGGAATCACAGTGCCGACCAATTGGCCAGCACAGCTCTGCGTAAGAAGTAAGGTATAAAGTCGATACCGGAAGAGGAATGACCGAAGCGATTAATCGATTGCCAGAGTTACTAGTTCCCAAGGACCAAAGTCCATCGGCCAAGGGTGCTTGCGGTGACTCGGTCTCGAGCTCCCATCAAGATGTCAGGAGAAACTCGGCAAGAAGGTGTGATACAACGACTCCGGACAGATCGAATCAGGGAGGCCCAAGAGCAAGAGGACTGAATGCAAGATTTGAAGGCCTACTTGAAGGGAGATTGGGTCGACCTATCCATGGAGACCGCTCGCTCGTACAGTAAGATGGCCAGGGACTACGAGATAAGTGTAGAGGGCTTACTATTGTATTGTCCCGGTCAGAGAATTGAGGGAGACGACCGAGAAGTAACGGCAAAGGCTAGAGATACCCAAAAGTTTCCATGCTGACGTCCTGCATCACTGCCACACCAGTCTGGAAGGAGGTCACCAAGGTGTTGGACGGACCTATTACCGAATCCGACGGTACCGCCATTGGAAAGGTTTATTCCGAAGCGTACAGAGGTATGTGGGGACATGTATGGATTGCAAGACTAGGAAAGGAGGACATACCCTGCAGGGCAAGACTCCAGGAAATGTCAAAGCAACATACCCTTTCCAGATAATAGTGATGGATTATATTCCCTGTCTGAGGAGGTATCGTTTCGAAGCGATGCAAAATCATGAGGAGTAGAGGCCGAAACCGAGGATCATTGATGGTCAACCAAAGTCTATAGTGGGTAGACCTTGGTCTCTCGGTAGTAGGACTTGGTCTTTCGAGGTTGACTCTGGTCCATCATTGGTAGACCCCGATCTTTTGTAATAGTCCCCGGTCCTTCATTGGTAGATCTTGGCCTTTCAAGGTAGACCCCGGTATTTTGAGGTAGACCCCGTTTCCTCGTTGGTAGACCCCGGTCTTTCGAGGTGGACCCCGGTCCCTCGTTAGAGACCTTGGTCTTTTAAGGTAGACCACGGTTTTTTCGAGGTGGACCTCGGTCACTCGTTAGTAGACCTTGGCCTTTAGCGTGCAGTGTGGTGAATCAAACAAAGTGGCGCAAGGTTCGAAGGAAGAAGGGAAACCGAGATTCAAGACGGAGACAGAAAAGAAAGGATGGGCACAAGTAGATTATGGAACGCTTACGGTTAAAGAACGAACTCGTCCCGGAGACGCGACACCGAGTACCCGGGATTGGGCTCGGACGAAAGTCAGTACTGCGAGATCCATGGGTAAGTGGAGTCGGAGACCCTCACGGCGTCCAGCAGGTCGGCGGGATCCGACCTTTCCTCGCACCCTGGGAGCCAGTATACTACACAGCGAGGTCGAAGAAGGTGCCGGAAGAAGGGGTTCGAGCAGGATGTCGAGGTCGCACCGACCGTCGCTCATCCCCTTGAAGAGTAGGTCGACGACCCCTCACCACGCCCGAATCGGGTGACCCCGTCGTTTCTTCCGGGCGTTGTAGTACGACGAGAGGAAGGAGCTGGGGCCCGTTTGGTCCTTTGAAAGCCACAAGCAGTCCTCACAGATCGCCTGGCTGTGGTCTTCATCGAAGCGCAAGTAAGTCACCTCCAGCTTTGTGAACCAGCCCACTGGTTTGAAGGATACGGGGGGGGGGTCTAAACTCGAGCTGACACCCAGGGGCGGGTGGCCAAGATGGTCTGGAGCATCGAGGAGTTGACCAACGACCACTTCCACTAGGCAGGTCGATCAACCTTTCCATATGTTGGATCAAACCAGCCCCAAGGCAACTCCAGGCGGTCGACCAAGTCGCTGGGGGTCATCGTCACGACACTCAACAAGCTGACTATGTCTACCGGCCAGGGCTCCACCTCCACTGCAAGGAAGGACTTCACTTGCATGTACCCAGGGATGAAGTCACCCTTCGGGAGTTTGGGTGACTCCCCTGGGGGAGAGTACTCCTTGGTGACTGGGGCTGGAGCCTCCTCTCCCGGGACCGACTCGACCTCGGAGTCCAAAAACCCATACATGGCGCGGATTAATCCTGAACAGGGCTGAGCGACCGGTCGTGAGATAGTGTCAGCTGAGAAATCTGGGAGCAGCGGGTCGGTAGGCGCCGTACGATGCCAAGAGGACCGCGATCGAGCCAAGGTCACCCGGACCACTTCACTGTCATAGCTCGCGGTGTCATCATCAGGTTCCGGAGAGGGTACCAAGGGTAGACTTTGGGGAGTCCCCGACTTGGGTGCCGACGAGGCGGGAGTACTGGAGGTGCTGGACTTGGCGGCCTTGGGAACCTTAGCGGTCGCCTTGGCCGGGGAACGCCGAGGTCGTTTACCCGTCACCGCGGTGAGAGATACTGCGGGAGAAGTCACGGGAAGAGCCGCAAGATCCTGGAAGGGACTCGTGAGTCATTCATCGTGCCCCAAATCCGCCACCATAAGAGCGTAGCGGCTCTGGCGGTAGTCCATCCGCCACCGCAAATGCTCCGTCAGCGATCTCTCTTGCTGGAGCCCTTTGCGTAACTGAGTTACGAGGCGGTAGGTGTCTTGCAGCTCTCTTTCGAGGAGCTCACACCGAGTGATCCAGTAGGCTTCGGGGGTGAGGACGGCTGTAGGTCGACCTTTGCACGCTTCAAGTCTTCGGCTATATGCATCTTGCAGATCGCGTAGCACCTGAGGCGCGAAATACACCACAGAAGAGGAGCTAGAGGTCGACTGAGGGTCATCCACGTCTGGGGGACCCTCACCACCTACGACCGCAGAAGGAACCACGGTAAACCCTCTTGTCTGAGGCACCTGGAGAAGAGTGTCGGTCGGTGTTTGGGAGGGAACCTGGGCCTCTGGGTCAACGGCAATGGCAGTAGTGTCCAAGACCGATCCCTCGGCCGTTAAGTCTACCCCAGAGAAAGGAACAGCTGAAATGTGTCAAACCAGACAACGTATATCGAACAGCCACACAAACAAGGAGTACTTACGGCATGGAGGATTTGAGGACATGCGCGTGTTCAAGCGGCTGTACCGTTGGTCAAGTGCAGAGGGCGGCTGTGGTGAAGTGTTTCAAGAATTGGTAGTTCAGAGGACCGGTAGGTCAAAATGAAAGGGGACCCACCAAGGAGGAGCGACCGTTAAGTAAAGTACAGAGAGACGGGGCGCTAAAAAAGGACGGGGAACGACCGTTGGATGAGGAAAACGTACGGTTTAAGCGTGCTTCATTCAGAGGAGCTAACCGCGGTTAGTCTGATGGACCGCGGTCCCTCGAGGTGGACCCTGGTCCCTCGTTTGTATACCCTGGTCCCTCGTTGGTAGACCCTGGTCTTTCGTGGTAGACCCTGGTTCCTCGTTGGATGACCCTGGTGTCTCGAGGCGAACCCTGGTCCCTCGTTCGTAGACCCTGGTCCCTCGTTCACCCGGCCTCTCGGTCCCTCGACAGGCAGAATCAAGAATCAGGTCTCGGGGTAAAGATAGAGTAAAGAAGTGTAATGATAGGACCATATTAAATACCTCTTAATTTGCGATCTATATAGCACACCTCCGTCGTGCTTTTAAGGTACCTACTAAGTCTACCCACCTGTTCCGGGAAGGGATACATTTTGGCCCCCCGTCGAAGACAGTTGTGTGGTAAGACTCAAGTGCAAGTAGATCCCCAGGATACATTTGGCCTGTGGGTTTGTCCGAGTAGCACCCCCAACTCAACCCGCTATCGGAAGCGGTCTCCCTACCCTAGTGGTCCGGGAGCAGGTAAATGCCATGCAATAAACACCCCTGAGACATCAAGGAAGGAAAAGGCCAGGGTTGAGAATCTCCCCTGAAGAATTTGGTCATAAGTCTACCCTCGACCTAGTCGACCGAGTGGCCACCTGCCCGCCTACCAAGTGAAGTATACCCACTCGAGGCCCCCCTCTCTCAAGGCCGACACCACATCTCAACTAAGTCCTCGGAAGAGTGCACCCGCCAGCCAACGGGTACACAAGGTGCGAGAAGGTCTATACGCGGCATCGGGGTACCCCCTCCGATAGTCGGCAGTCCGGCACAGTGAGTGGCTTAGGGTCTCATTACCACACATTATTGTATGTTGCTCGAGAAACTTGATTGGTGTCTAAGTGATAGTGTGGTCCACGTTAGCTGTCATTTCAAATTCAGTAATTCTACCACTCAATATAGAAATTTCTTCTATCAACCGCTCATACGAATTAATTGGAAGAGATGGTGGTAAGCAAGCGTAAGTGTAGCGACAATTTTTCTGCACACGAGAAGCTTGTGCACAAAAGCTGCTCACTGCTGCAGCGCGAGGCTAAAAAAGTGCGCACTTTCTTGATGCGTAAGGTGGTCCAGCAATTGAAACAGCTGCGCCTGCAGCTGGTCGAGCTTATGCAGGACGCGATCAAGCAGCAAAAACTGCGCTACAGCATTAAAAAGCTCGAGCGTGAACACGCGGCACTTAGAAAGCTTGAATTACACAGTATAGTGGCCAGAGCGAGATTGCAGACAGGGCTGGACAAGCTGCACACGGTTTTGAAGGCGCAAAACGAGCATGAGGAGGCGCAGGAATGGGGCAGCGACAGTGAAGTGGAGGATAGCCAAGTAAATCAGAGTAATAATCTCTATAAAGATGGTGAAAAGAAGGTAGCAGTTGCTGATCAACAGGATACAGGAGTGAAGGAAATTGTAGAGCAAGACACTGAATTGGAGCAAAAGCTGATAGACCGCATGCTGGCTCACAAGCGAATGAAGCCGGTGGTGGAAGCGATCAAGAAGTTGGTTGAAAAGGAGGAGAAAGAGGTTGAGAAAAAACGACGTGCGCAGGAGAAGCGGATATTGAAGCGTGGTCGTCACGAGGCATTGGTTGGCAACACGGGACGCAGTGGTGTGACGCCTACTTCACTATTTCTTGGCTCTTTATCGGGTCGTGGAGAAGCAGATGTCAACTTGAATATGGGAATACATGACAATAGTACTATGTATGGTGCTAACGACGACATCGCCGAGTTTTTGGGTGAAAAGAAAAAGAGAAAAAACCGACCGGGTCAGATTGCTCGTCGAATGAAGGCTCTTCGGAAAGAGGAAGCTATTCAGCGCAAGGATGATCGCACAATGGGCATTTACGCGCCATACCGGATCAATATGAATTCTTCGAGCAGGTATGGCCTATCCGAGCGACCGAAAAAGGCAAAATTAAAGGTGACATCAAGCAAAGGTGACCAGCAGCAGCGGTGTGGCGAAACTTCATGTGTAACCTTGAAGGAGGCCGCGCCTCACAAAAGCAACCAGTGTGTTGCTTGTGCCTTTAATGCTTTGGTGGAGGCTGCACACCCGTCGTGGCTGGCAAAACAGAAGCAAAAAGAGAAGGAGAAGGTTTGTTTGACCGCCTTTAGTGGCAAGAAGATTACCTTTAGTGAGCTTTAATTTGCATTATAGCTGGCAAGTGATAGACAATCACAAGAAAGCGAGAGGCAGTGTGTCGCCACTTGATTTAAAAACGTCGCCTTGTCTCAATTGCGGAACATCTTGGCAATCTGGTGGGCCAAACTGCTATCCGAAGGGGCACACTGCCGACGCAGATCCGGGATTTCGTTTCTCACAATGTTATCGATTGCTGCAATTTCAGAGTTTTTCAGCTTAGGTAACTTGCTAAAGCCCAGTGTTTGCATTGCAACCTGCAGTGTAGGCAACACGCGCTTCCACAATGACAGCACATACTCATCTTCCTCTGCCAACTGACGGCCGTACCGACGACGGAATAACTCGCTTAGCGAATCCTCATGCAGCAGATCGCGCTCAAGCTGTGCCATCACTGTCGAGTTGTGCCATACGACACCGACAGATGCTAGCACACTTGCAACGGATAGTCCCGCCACAGCTTCAACGGCAACGCCACCTGCTAGCGCTGAAGCCGCCAACGCATTTCCTCCCACAAACGTAGCCACCACGAGAGCTGAACGCCGCCATTTCTCACTAGCATGCCGAGTACGGAGGTCACCAAAGACCTCAGCATGCATTTTCAGTAGCCGCGACGAGTCGTATAGATTCGTGATAAGGTTGTCCACCCGGCGCTCTGGAGCGCGCTGCACCTCGCTCACCACTTCCTCTCGCATAGCGTCCAAGTCTCTCATGGATGCACCCAATCCCTCTGCTGTCTGCTGCTGATTGTCCTTGGTAGGGATGCACATGGTGTATATACGCGGCAGGTCCTTCAGCGGGATGACCTTGCTTAAATTCCAGCAAAGAGAGCCATAGGCGCGAGCAAAGTCGTGAATTTTGCAAAACTGATCCACCTTATTCAGTACGAGGTGCAGTTTATGGTCCATTCCGGCCAGCGACCGCGTTAAGATGGACAGCGTCTCGCCCGTAGTACCTGGTTTGTCCGGGTCAAAGAATAGCAAAATCACATCAGCACGTTCGGCGTACCAGCGCACGACCTTTGAAAACTCGTATCCTCTATCCGAGTCCTGTCCCTTATAGTTCATGCTATTCTGAGGGTGTTGCAATGACAGCTGTCCATTGGTTGCTCTGTTGTTAAACTGCGACAAGTGCGACGGACTCTGTGGCGAATCGATCATACCAGGACTGTCGACGAGCATATATTTGGCTTGAATACCCTTACGGACCTTAAGCTGAGTGCGCTGGATAAGGGCCGGACCATAGACCCGTAGGCCAGAGAATCCTAGGTCGGGGTCGCCCACCAATGCCGGCCCGTCTTGGTCTAGATCCTCGTGTCCTGGAGCAATGATGGTAAAGCCATCATCTGTAGGTGCTACGCCCGTAGACTGAACATCCCGTTTCAATAGATAATTAATAAACGATGACTTTCCGGATGAATGATTGCCCAATAAGAATACAAAAGGCAGCGACGGCAGCTTTTCCTCTCGGTGCTTGCGGTCTAATGGTCCCAATAGTTTCTCGTTCAGTGGTAGAAGCACAGAAGACTCCAAATGACTCGTCTGTCGCATAAGACGTACCCACTTCTCATCTTCTAAGGAGCAATCATCCACAATTGTTTGAGATGCCACTAGAGACGAGAGACGAGAGGTTAATAGCTGCTGACGTAAAGCCACACGACATCCCCTTCGTATCATATTTTACTGTGACTTTTTTCATGTCAAACTGCATTAGAGTGACATAGTGACATTAGCAGCATTTTTATTTTGAGTATCTTACATAACCTCAATCACATGCAAGTAATTAAGACTAAGTTTTGCATTAATTCTTACCATCTGATTCCATTTCAATCTCCATTTACAAAACCATTCGGATACACAATGCAGACGATAATGAGAAAGACAATGCATTTGACAGATTCTCTGTCATCAACAGCAGCAAATAGAGCACAATATGTGTGACTGCGTATACAACACAACTTCATTAGCAAGCAACTGCAGCAACGCTTAGTCGCGGGCGTCGAACACCGACAGCAGCAGATCGCCGTAGTCGCCGCTTACCTCCTTGGCAATGCAATCCCGCAGCTCCTTACCATACTTCTTCTTGTAAACGGGCTTAATATCGCGAAGCACGATGTGATAGCGTACCACAGCTGAACTCAACGCGTTCTCGTCGGTGCCAAAGCCCTTTGTTGCCTCATCAAACAGCTCAGCCAGTAGCTCGAGGGGCTCCGTCGTCATGCGAATGAGAAACAGCACGGCCTTTTCAGCCTCACCGCGAAACTCGTGGGCCGCAGCCTTCACCAGTGACTCCCCGTATTTCTTCTCGTATGCAGTGGCCACGGCGCGCAAATGCTCGGGCGGGCTGGCCGCCAGTACACTCACAAAGCCCTCTTCGTCCGTGCCCATCTTGCCGCGACCCGATTTGTAAAGCTTTTCCACGTCGGCCTCTACTTTGGCGGCGTTGTGGATGTTGGCGTCGTATGGCACCAGCGCAGCCTGCAGTGACGCCAGAATCACCGTCTGGAAGTCACCGTGTAGGTCGCTGTCCAGCACAGAGCCCAGGTCCTCACCATGTGCCTCGTAGTACGTCTTCTTAAGGATGTTGATCTCCGCATTGGTGCGGCCCACAACTACGGGGTAAATGAGGTTCTCCTTTGTACCCAAACCTTTGGTAGCCTTGCGTAGGATATCAGCCTCTGCCTCGGGCAAGGGCGACGCCAGTAGCTTAAGCAGGAATTCGTAGTGACCCGACGTCTCATCATCCACCAAGTCACGCAGGCTCTGGTTGTGCAGCTCCTTATAGCGTTTGGCGACAAAGCCGCGCTGCGTGGCCGTTTTGCCACCCAACGCCTTGTTTAGCTCCTTTTCTTTAGTGCCGGTGCCCTTGGTGGCCTCAAAGATCTCGTTTACGATCGAGTCCGTACCGGGCGGGTACGAGACCGTCTGGCCATTCCAGGCGCTATGCGTAGCAAGTGGGTAGAGGTTCAACATCTTGAGATAATAGCAAAAAGTGTAGTAGTTCTTGCTGACGTGAGAGGGAGGCAGTAGATTCGAGAATGACAATACCAAGAATGAAAGATCGCCATTGCAATCACTTCAATTGGATATTTATTGTGATTTTGTTTCCTGGATTTTAATAATCAGTAATTTATTGCTTTATAAAGTAACTTTGTCTCGAGAAAAGCGATTTAAATATCCTGTTCCATACTATATCACTGTATCCGATATTTCTGAAGGGATGTGGCTCTGATTTATCGCAACGTATACCGGCATCAATACGCGACCTGTCTTCTGTGCAAATGATGTAATTTTTTTGCAATTGATGACACTTAAACTTGATATTATTGTATTGTTTACAAGCTATGTCTGGACAGAGAAAAATAAAGCCGACCACTACTGAAGGCGCCTAAGGTCGGATGTTTCCAGTAAAATTGCGAAAAATATAATTTGCTCCTTATAAAATCCATATTGCTCTACAAACGTAAGTATAATATTTCACAAGCAAAAAAAAAATCAGTGTTTTGACTATCCAGAAATGCCAAATATCCAATTAAAGTGATTGCAATGGCGATCTTCCATTCTTGGTATTGTCATTCTCGAATCTACTGCCTCCCTCTCACGTCAGCAAGAACTACTACACTTTTCGCTATTATCTCAAGATGTTGAACCTCTACCCACTTGCTACGCATAGCGCCTGGAATGGCCAGACGGTCTCGTACCCGCCCGGTACGGACTCGATCGTAAACGAGATCTTTGAGGCCACCAAGGGCACCGGCACTAAAGAAAAGGAGCTAAACAAGGCGTTGGGTGGCAAAACGGCCACGCAGCGCGGCTTTGTCGCCAAACGCTATAAGGAGCTGCACAACCAGAGCCTGCGTGACTTGGTGGATGATGAGACGTCGGGTCACTACGAATTCCTGCTTAAGCTACTGGCGTCGCCCTTGCCCGAGGCAGAGGCTGATATCCTACGCAAGGCTACCAAAGGTTTGGGTACAAAGGAGAACCTCATTTACCCCGTAGTTGTGGGCCGCACCAATGCGGAGATCAACATCCTTAAGAAGACGTACTACGAGGCACATGGTGAGGACCTGGGCTCTGTGCTGGACAGCGACCTACACGGTGACTTCCAGACGGTGATTCTGGCGTCACTGCAGGCTGCGCTGGTGCCATACGACGCCAACATCCACAACGCCGCCAAAGTAGAGGCCGACGTGGAAAAGCTTTACAAATCGGGTCGCGGCAAGATGGGCACGGACGAAGAGGGCTTTGTGAGTGTACTGGCGGCCAGCCCGCCCGAGCATTTGCGCGCCGTGGCCACTGCATACGAGAAGAAACACGGGGAGTCACTGGTGAAGGCTGCGGCCCACGAGTTTCGCGGTGAGGCTGAAAAGGCCGTGCTGTTTCTCATTCGCATGACGACGGAGCCCCTCGAGCTACTGGCTGAGCTGTTTGATGAGGCAACAAAGGGCTTTGGCACCGACGAGAACGCGTTGAGTTCAGCTGTGGTACGCTATCACATCGTGCTTCGCGATATTAAGCCCGTTTACAAGAAGAAGTATGGTAAGGAGCTGCGGGATTGCATTGCCAAGGAGGTAAGCGGCGACTACGGCGATCTGCTGCTGTCGGTGTTCGACGCCCGCGACTAAGCGTTGCTGCAGTTGCTTGCTAATGAAGTTGTGTTGTATACGCAGTCACACATATTGTGCTCTATTTGCTGCTGTTGATGACAGAGAATCTGTCAAATGCATTGCCTTTCTCATGTACGTCGCGAGATTGAAAGCATGTAATGTGAAAATAAAATAAATGAAGTGGAGGTGTGGGTAATCATTACTGCTGCTACTCTTAGCTTTATGATTACTTATGTATACTGATACCATAGCTCGTGTTCTAACACTCATTCCTATATTGCAAACGATTCTCTGTTTTAACACTCATTCCTATACTGCAAACGATACCAACGCAGGAATGATTAATTGGGTCAAAACCTTTGCTACGGTCTATTCGTTTGCGGACTGCATTGATCTGGTGACTACTACTCCATAATTAGTTAAGGTAATATACACAAATTTTGCTTTTGCCACATAAAATCTCAGTGTGGATAGACTGAAGTACGCGATATCGCCCATGGATAATAATTGCAGGCGTGTACAACAATTTTGCTTTCGGATTAATTCAAGTGCTTCTATACCGCCTTCTTTAATTACCATACATATTGAAGCAAGTAAGCTACTTGCTATAGCTTTAAACAGTGTAGATACAGCAAAATGTATCACAAGCTATCAATCATAGGACAGCTTTTTTTGTATACTTCTATGTTTCCGGGTGCAGTAAATATGCAACCAAAAATACCGTTACGCTTAACAACAGTATTTCATACATAAGCAAGATGATCAAAACTACCTGACTGAGCCAATGAGATGAATATCGTAACACGTGAAAATACACTACGATAAATTGAAGTAACCTTGCTGTCAAATGGGGCAGTCGTGTCAATATCTTTTGGGAAACTTTGCCAGGCGAAACGTAAATTTGGCTATCAATGCGGAAACATTTTAACTGTTCTCATAGGCGTTCACTCGCAAAGTTGTGCGAACACCAATATCTTACTTTTGACCTTCTCGCTCTACACAGACGCGCGATACTTTTGTAAATAGTATGGGTATAGCAATTGACAATGCTGGGGGTTTGCGAGAGTTGTTAACAGCTGCTTTCAAAGCGAACAACTTGAAGAGCAGGCGGCGAGACCAGATCTGTGAAACTTTTGTTAATCTGATCGCTAGGTAGAAGAAAGGTGTAATCTAAAGTTTTGCAGCCATAAATGGCAATAAATGCACCGTAAACTATAATGGATCAATGAGGTTTGTCTTTTTTTAGCTGCAAGTGTGATGAATATGAAAATGTGAATATGATGAGCAACACTGTTGCAATACATACATGCAAGGTCATCTAGGTCTCAAGGCATTAAGGTGAGACCCTATTCCAAATTTCACGTTTTGGATAGAAATATATTCAGATTTTGGTACTTTTCGTTAATGGATGATTTAAATGTTGGCAAGAGATGATAAGATATATATTTGACTTGATAATTAATGTGAGAAAAAAATAATATTAGTTTAATATGAGTAAAAATCAAACATCTGAAGGAACTAGAAAAAGGATGAGTGATATCTAATACCCAGTGCGTCAGTATCAAGCGAGATCCAGCACAAAGTTTTCTAGTAGCTTAGTTCATACGTTTTGTTGTGCATGATGCCCTTGCAACGCTCAGCTTGGAGGCATTCTTCTCAACACTACCCGTTCTTCAACTTTAAGGTGGCGCAAGGACGTGGCCAAAGCACCACAATACGATTGGCGTAGAGAAGACTTGGATCCATGACTTTGTCATATACAATGTTTCCTAAGAGATAATATAGTACAAGCTGTTTAATGCATCACGGTATCGACGCATTGTTGTTAACGTATCCTTCTTTATTCTTCATTATGTTTGCATAAATCACCCGATCAGAAGGATACGGTAGATTCACTACGCTACTGTTTCCTTAAAGAGTGCAGCATCAGGTTATGCTTAGATAAAAAAAGCAGCAAAGCTTTTCTCAGTCGTTGCAAATCCTATTGATTAAGTGTTGAGGTCGCGCTTAGGACAACGTTGCTTATCGTTAGATGTGAAGGTTTTGTTGCTATTTAGATGCTCTGCATGATGAGAGAATCATGAAATGCTCTATCATCCGATTAATAGTTACAGCATCGACACATAAAGCTCTAATACAAGACTACAAGTTTAGTGAAAAGCAAAGGGCTAATCATGCTTCTGTTGGGGACATAACAAACATATGTAACACACCTGATAATGAGATTTGCGATGTTTCTTGAGATGGCTCATGATCTCTGCTCCTAGAATTTCGCCACTTTCAATATTTCTTCCTACTAGTCACTTGTCAATGTGCGGTCAATCACTGTGGTCAATAGCACTTACAGCTCTTGTAGTCAAGGCAAACGTCATTGTAGACGACTCTACGTGTCACCGGAACAAGGCTCAGCATATCTGCGAGCCCGTGGATCTTTGCGAGCACAATTACAACTTTGGCGATGTCAATTCTGATCAGTCCTGCCGTGTGAAGCGAGGTGTCAACTTTTACCCACAGCAGATTCACTTAGCGTTTGCGGGGAAGAAGGTCGGTACAGCCATGACGGTATCATGGGCGACGTTTGAGGAAGTGACAGACAGCTCCGTTTGGGTAGGGAAGTCCAATGACACGCTGGAATTGGTAGACACCCCTGTGTCTAGTTTAAGTTATTACCACGACAAAGAGTACAACTTATTTCACCATCACGCGACAGTCACCGGACTAAAGCCTCATACGAAATACTTCTACAAGGTCGGCAGTAGTAGCGATAATGAGTACACGAGCGATGTCAGCACGTTCGTTACGGCGCATCCAGCAACAAAAGATTCTTCTTCTAGCATGCTAATCTATGGCGATCTTGGTGATGGAAAGAACTCGGCCAACACAATCGCGAACATTAACAAACTCACGTCGGATGACATCGATTTGGTATATCACCTCGGTGATATCTCGTACGCTGATTCCGCATTTAAAAGACTGAAGCAAGCTGCAGGTTTCTTTTACGAGGAGGTGTACAACAAGTGGATGAATATGCTGATGCCGCTAATGAGCCGTGTCCCGTACATGGTACTTGTAGGAAACCACGAGGCGGAGTGTTACTCACCGAAATGTCAAATTTCGCGTCAAAAGAGACAAGCGCTGGGAAATTACACAGCATACAACACACGTTTCAAGATGCCGTGTGAGGAGAGCGGCGGCACTTTGAATATGTGGTACTCGTTTGACCACGGTCCGATCCACTTTGCATCACTCTCATCGGAAACGGACTACCCAGCCGCGCCTACGAATGAATACACGAAACGCGTCAAAAATGGAAACTTTGGTGATCAGCTGAAATGGATTGAGGCAGACCTTGAAAAGGCAAATGCGAACAGAGCCAAGGTACCGTGGGTTTTTGTCGGGATGCACCGCCCGGTCTATAGCGTTTTTAATTCCGTGCCCAATGGTGAGCCAGATGGGGAAACTGCAAACATCCAAAGAGCTTTTGAAACGCTTCTTCTTAAGTACAAGGTGGATGTCGTGTTGACTGGTCACAAACACTACTATGAGCGGGAGCTTCCACTTGCCAAGAACAAAGCCGTAATGGATGGCGTTTCAGATGATTACAAGCTGTACAACAACCCTCGAGCTCCCGTGCACATTATAACCGGTGGTGCCGGCCAGGTGGAGGGGTTATCTAAAGCACCAAACAATGCTGCCTCTTTGAATGCAGCATCGGAATATGAACACTTTGGGTACTTGATGCTAAATGCCACTCGCACGACGCTTTCATGGAAGTATATCCGGAGCTCGGATCAGTCCATTGCAGATGCATTTGTCATATGTAAAAACGACACGCTTGCAGCTAATCTAGAATAGTACACTTGCTTGTCAGTCAGTCTCTATCGGAGATGATGGAAATTTGATGCACTCTGGCCATGCGTCTTGCTATATAAATAGGAAGCCAGTCACTTTGTATAACGTCAATATACTCTTCGATACTTTTGGATTGCCAGCTATCCAAGCTGCCACGCACAAGAAATATGTTTGCCTGTAACTCTAAAAGAAGATTCTGAGCAAGACTAGTGTCAATGAACATCGCCAGGCCAGTTTCAACTGCAGTATGAAGTGTATAAAGATGGATTCGTTGAAGCCGTGAAAAACTCCAGGCACCTTATCGCACATAAGAGGTTACTTATATGTCAAGAAATCAAGCGCCAACTTTGCACCTCAATTCCAAAGCACGAAGTGAGATGCTGAAGAAAATACCAAAGAATTAACACTAGGATGATCGGTTACGGAGAAAAGCTACGGAGTCTGTAGCTAGGCCTAATTCTGAACGTAGCAGCCATAGCTACAGCCCGATGCACTAGTAACTCGACAACTATTCACCAACAGGGTTTTGTTCACATTCCTGGACTCGCATGGTCAAGTTCTATGGATATAAATATTTCTGTAAGCGAGTTACATAGTAGGTCTTTGTAGTATCTCTGCTATTTTCTCGTGCAAATCTACCATTGCTCAAACAGTACAACTTCAACTAATGCGTTTTTAACAAAGAGATTTAGCATATGCCAATACAATCTAAGTATAACAAATACAGCTGATCGTTGTCGAAATGTAGCAGTATATGGCTTAGTTGGTATACGTGACTGATTATGAGCCTTGAGACTTCTGATTTCTTACTTGTCCAGTAGCTACAAGTTATATGTCTGTCGTGAATATCTATTGGATAATAAAAACACAGCTTTTTGCGTGCTCGACAATTATTGTGAAAGAAAAAAATGAAAATTGACTTAACGACCGTTATTGGTCGTCATCCTGCAACAAGGTTTTCTAAAATGTGTCACAAAAACATGACGTAGTCAAAAGACTGAAGTGTCCACAAGTGTAGCATCTTATCGTCCAATGAGATGATATAAAAATTTATAAATCGTTATTTAAACAGATCCAAAATTTCCTCTTAGTGGATACTTAATTAAATAGATCTTGTCATTCTCGAACGATACTGAATCAGATATCTCCTTTTCTATCTTATTCCACTACATCTTTCTCTCTCACTATATCATTAGATCTCTCTAAATACCCAATCCATTCTTCAAGTCTCATGACTCGAGCACTTGACGTATTATTGCTACTATGGAGCTTTATACATTCTATATATGCGGTGTCTAATGCAGATCTAAACGTTCAATTGCCGTTTCCCGTCTTGTCGCATCCATTGCATTTATCTTCGAGTCTTTTTGCAGCCTCGGAACGACTGCCACCAGACGTTCATGTGACAAACTCATCGTCGTCGTTATTGAGCCCAAAGCTATTGTCAGACATACCATTTCCTACTGGTGCTTGGTGGACTAATCTCGTCTTAGCTGAAGGCCAATCAGCCGTTGCATCCATGCCGTATCTCTATAAGATTATTAATGAAAAGCTACACGTCAGTTTTCCATTCCGTGTTGTCTCACCAAAGGACATTGTCGAAGGATTTCTCTCTCAAATGGTCATAAGTTCGCAAGCAACGCAGCTATCGACGTATCCAGTGGCACATCACGTTGTCAACTTTGACGCTTTCAGCACGACGGTGCGTTTTAGTAGAAACGAAATTGAGGAATTTCGTGTATATCTTGTACGAGGATCACCATACATTACGATGGAGTACACTCGTAGTCGACCTGTGGTGGAAGCCATGGATGGGCTGCAAATTATACGTTTTAAGAAGCTGCAAGGACTGACGCTGATGAACGGACATGACGTGCCATTTGCTACATTTGCGGTGGAGATTAATAATGGACAGACGTGGTACTTGTACGCGTCTGACAAGACATTAGAACTCGAGCTGAATACTGAGGGACAAGTAACAAGCCATACGGAGTTTACGGGCGTACTAAGATTGGCTTTGTGTCTCGATGCCAAGGTTATGCCGTTTTTGCTCGAGTCAGCGTCTGTGTATGCTGTTGGAGGTGATGTCGCACACTCGGTGGATTATAGTGACTCGAATGCAGCTTATCTTGAGTTCCAGTGGAAAACAAAAAGCTTTTCAGCTTTTCACGGCCAGACGGAGAAGGTTGCAGACGAGGAAAATAACAATTTGTTAATGCTGACGCTGCCACATCACGTGGATGTGATGCAAATGCAGCAAGACAGTACGACATTAAAGAAGGGGACGAACCGGGTCTTACCAGCTCTAAAATACACCAGTATCCGTGGACTAATGGAAGGTATCTTTGGTTCTGTGTGGTACATGAAGGAGACGTTGCCAGTAGTGGAGTGGCACTTCGCCGATGACGGACTATTTAGTGATGACTTCAGCAGCACTTTGGATGCCAAAGGCGATTTTCATGCCGACAGCAAGAAGCTTCGGATGGACATGCGCGAGAAAGCTAAACAGGCTATTATACAAGAGCTTACTATCGATGCTGACAAGTATCTGTCTCCGCTAAGCCCCGATTCTTACAACTTTGGCAAGCAAGTCAGTCGTGATGCGCGCCTTCTTCTGATTGCAGACAAGTTCAAGCAGGAGGAGGTGAAGCAGAAGCTGCTAACGAAGGTCGAGATGGAATTGGTTGAGTGGCTTGAGGCATCAAATGCCAACCATTTCATTTATGACCAGACTTTTGGTGGCGTAATCACAAATGATGGCTGGCATAGCCAGGAGGCTGATTATGGCAACGGGTACTACAACGACCATCACGTACGTGCATAATCACTTCTGCGCTGCACTTGATATAGTATACTAATCTCATGATTATTGTGCAATGTATTGCAGTTTCATTACGGATACTTCATCTATGCCCTTGCTGCAATTCGGAAGTTTGACCCAGACTTCATTACGAAACATGCACAGGCTTGTGCGTTGCTTATCGGTGATATAGGAACGCCACTGCCAAACAGTCATACGTCATTTTATGGCGATCTACCGGTGCAATCACTCTTCCCTGCTGCTCGCCACAAAGATTGGTTTATGGGTCACTCATACGCGAGTGGACTTTTCCCAATGGAAGTTGGCAAGTCCCAGGAAAGCAGCAGTGAAGGTCTTAATGGCTACTACTCGCTCGCGCTTTTTTCTTCTCTCGACGAAAAGTTTTCTGAAGGACACGGAGATAGCTCTTACCATCAGTACGCGCGACTCCTGCTTGCGACAGAACTGCGCTCAGTAAAGAAGTATTGGCATATGTTAAAGAACTCAAAAATCTACGAGCCTGTATTCTCGAAAAATGCTATGATTGGAGTCGTGGGTGAGCTGAGTGTTGTATACAACACGTGGTTTGGTGACAACGCTGTTTACATTCATGGCATCAATATGCTCCCATTCACACCTTTTACAACGCAACTGCTGGATGAGCAATTTGTTGCCCGCGAGTACGCACTGCTGAGTCAAAATCTACCAGATCTAAGTCAGTACGACGTCTGGCGGTCTATTGTTGTAATGGACCACGCAATTTTAGACGCAGCAGAGGCTTGGGACGAACTTAACAACACCGTCAAGGTATTCGACACGTGGTCTTCGCGGACCAACGCTATGTACTGGATTGCCACTCGCCCATCGTGGTTTGAACAGAAAAATCGTCTGGCGCTGAGTGATCCACATTTGGGTGCTGATGACAAGTGTTTTGGATTCCCAGCATGCGCGTCAGCAGGAGCAAATGGTACGGCACTGATGTGCTGTAATACATTACCAGGCTGCTGCCCCAGTGTACTCGGTTGCTGTCCACAAGAAGACCCCGCTCTATTGCCGAGCAATGCCTGTTTTGGCGAGCATGAATGTGCTGTGCTAGGATTAGGCTGCTGTAACTCTATCGATGGTTGTTGTGAGCCCAACCCCATGTCCGGCGACGTGTTAGGCTGCTGTAAGACCCGACACCCAGTGGTGAGCACCACGACCCGCAAGGTGGCTGAGAAATTAAAGGACCCAACACACTGCTATGGTGAACCTGCGTGTGAAGCAGCCCAGCTCGACTGCTGTGGCGCACCTGGAGGATGCTGCTCTGGTTCTGAAGTTAAGTTAGGTTGCTGCTCACGAAAACAGCCTTCAACAGCCGCCTCCAATAATACGAACGCATTTTGCCAGGGTCAACCAAAGTGTGGTGCTGCTGGATTGGACTGCTGTGGGTGGGATGAAGGTTGCTGCAAGCCCGATCCTGTGACAGGTAATAAACTGGACTGTTGCCAAGAAGAGGCAGCCGACGCGGGTTCAACCAAAATCATGCCTATTCGCAGTGGCGAAAGGCCCGATGAGGAAGACTGTGATCCCGACGAGAGCGCCGGCAAGACTAATGCTGGCATAACCCGCATCTTGATTGGGTTAGGAGGAGCAATTGTGCTTGTCGGGATTGTGTACGCTGTGGGCCTGTGTTACCGACGCCGTGGCTACGCCAGCATCGACGGCGACATGCGTGCGCTTTACTGCGCTGGACTAATGGTCGGTGTTATTGCCTTCTTCATCTTTCTTACCGTTACGTCTTAGGTGCGCTCATAGCACACTTCGTTGAACGGCAAGAGTTATCGGGTCATTAAAACTTTTCGTTTCCAAATACTTGTGCAAACAGTTGGCAGCAGAAATACCACTACCTTCTTGTCGTGTCCCATAGGTGATGGCATGAACCAAAACACGCTAATTGGGTTTGCTAATCTGCTGCAGAAAGTATCAAACGTATAACGCACCTGTAGAATAGACGATTGTGCAACAAAGGTCTATCAACAATAATGATCTTTGTGTGCACTATAGCTCGAGTGCACGATCATTTGTCTGTCTAGGAACATCAACACTTTTCGCAAACATCTCGACCAATACCCCCAAACCACCTTTACGTTTGAATGCATCAGCCTCAACACCTCCCTCCACGAAACAACGCCAACTCTGGTCCAGAATCTCCAGGTCTCCAACAAATTCTCATTTTCTCGTCTCATTTGCAGTTTCTTGGTTTCGTTCAAGTATTAATACTCTCTCGAAAAGCAGCAACAATGCAGGTACACTCAACGCATCGGTCCAAGAAGAAAAAACAATCAAAATCGATCTGGTCTGATCTCCTCTCGTCTGCTTTCTCTGCCTTTTCTGCTCGTACCTGTGCTAGTGGTGACCACTTTTAATTTGCTGCGCTTCTTACCAAGCCTACCTTGATTCTCCTAGCTTGCACTCGTCCACAGCACGTCCACAATGCAATTAGTCACGACGAGAAGGTGGTGACGCGCTGTTGCGGCGGGGCGAACGACTGCGCGGGCGTTGAGAACGGCTACGGCTGCGGTCGCGTCCTGCACTACTGCGCTCACGATCACGACGATCTGGGGAGCGCGAACGCGAGCGACGGCGTTGACGATTGTCACGACGATCATCGTAGCGACGGTCATCTCTACGGTCATCGTAGCGGCTGCTGCGTCCGCGGTCTTCTCCATATCGGTCGCTGCTTCCTCCTCCGCCATAGCGATCACTGCCACCACCACCACCACGTGAATAAAACTCCCGTGGGTTATCAGGTCGGCGTTGCTTGGCAAACTGAACGCGCAGATCACGGCCTTGAAAATCCTGCCCCTCCATTCCTTCAATAGCATCTTCAGCGTCACGTTTCTCCATAAAACGCACAAAAGCAAAGCCACGTGATTCATTCGAGCCACGTGCACGTGGGATATACACATCACCAATTTCTCCATATTTCGAGAAAAGATCACGTAATTCGTCACTTCTACAGTAGAGAATAGAAACACGTTAGAAAGAGGAAAGAGTGTATCAAACATATGCAGTATATTGAAATCAACATGTACAACATACCCAATTTGAAAGGGAACGTTGTCGACCTTGAGTGTAAACATAGTGTCAACATTAGGGGGAGCCATGATTGTATCACTATTTCTATGGAAAAGAAACTAAAGGACTGGTGGACTTGCACGTTGTGTGGAAACGACGTTTATGAAAGAAGGAAAGATAATTGCTTATTGGATAAAATAGGTGTGAAAGAAGTAAGAATGGTTGTTTATTATACAATACGAAGATCCTGTGACACAGAATTCGATTACAAAACGTTGTACTTAAATTGGACCAAGTCAGTTACATACTCTTAAGAAGGTTACATTTTCTTACTTATTTTATTCAATCATACAAGATTTAGGTTCTGTTGATTTGCAACGACCTTCAGGCGACATTTATGACTACACATCGACGTCATGGAAGCGAATGCGCAGGTAAGCTCAGTATACTGCTAGTGCTCGCGACCTGCGCCAGTCTGCTGCTCTCTGTATACAAGATTCAATATACCTGATCCTCTACACACTTATAATAATGCTGCTGTTATTCTCTTATGCTAATTACGTCTCCTATAGTATGCACTTCACGACAGCGACGCAACGCCACCAACCTGGGCAGCTCGTATCCGTCTCACACCTGAACTATTAGACAAACTGCGTCAGGTACCGGAAAAAGCTCGGCTTCAATTGAATGTTTCAAATAACGACGGACTTCTTCAATGTCGTGGTAGTAACAAAAAGACGAGTCTGATGACGATTAAGGTGGCTGAGTCAGAGGAGAAATATGAACTACTTTCGTTTATCGAAGACTCAAGCATTAACCACGTTTGCACATTCCGTCGATCTGTTGATAACGAATCGTTTGGTGGCTATAGTATATACAAGACGGGTGAAATCTATCAAAAGCTGCTGGTCCAACGGCTGCTGGATGACACGGAGAAGGATCGCATCAAGGACAAGCACGCCCAGTCCGTAATTGCTTCAAAGTCACGGTGCTCACAATTGATTGAATCGAATGTGGAGAGAAGTGCTAAACGACAGCGACTTGTCACAAGGTCGTTGAGTGTGCGGACCTCGAAGACGTCTGCTGGGAGTAGTGCGTGGTCCAAAGCGACTGGACACAAGAGGTAAGTTAAGATGTGCGACATTATTTAGTACTGCGCACAATCTAATTGCTTTGACTTGATTCAGGATAAAAAAACTGGTGCTACCTTCTGCATTGACTAAGGAAGAAGCCATTGAAGCTAAAGAAAGAGTTGAAAAGGGAATTGACGTTGACAAAGAGATGCCAGTGGTTGCAGTTGAGGAAACGAGATATGCGTACGACGTGCAAGAACGAAAAGAAGTGAAAGATACTGCTGTTGTCATTAGTCAACAAACTGCCGCTGCTCGTGATGCGGAGATTCACGCCCTTTTTTCATCAGATTCAGATCATGAAGACGGTGAGAATAGTCAAGGCAAGGAGCTGCAACAGCCAAAGAAGAGGACAGCCACAGAAAAGGATCTGAATCGAAGCGCTGTGGTAGCAATTGAAAAAGATTCAAGTGAGAATAAGGCACTATCTGAAGCAGAGAATACGGAGGTCACAGCAGCAGTTTTGGATACGACCATGGTTATAAAGAAGCCGTCAAGCGTTTTAAGTGGATGTGATGCGGCCGTGGAAGTAATACGATCTATAAAGAATGATGACAATGTGACGCAAGACAAGAAAAGTGGCGGGGCAATGGATATATATGCATTAAAGCCTACGAAGCCATCCACATTTTTTGGAGTCGAAGTCAAGCGTGCGCGCGTGCGTTCAGCTCTTGTGTTTGATCGAGTAAAACAGTCGCAACTACCAAATCTGTCATTTTTCCCGTCTGCAGTCGTGGAAATCTGTCAGCGAGTTTCAGGTTACCATGGTCGATCGGTGATTCTTGATGAGAGCGATTACAACTCGTTCATCCAGATAAACCAGCATTTTCGTGAAGACTGGGAGATGCTAGATAAGGTAATCATGACAAACGTGTTGTCGAATCCACGATAGCTTAGTTCTGACTACCATATTTTCATTTTCACAGGCCTATTCAATTGAAATGATCAAGACAGAAGGTCTGCACTTGCAACTCGAAATGGATATACTGGACACTAACCATGAGGAGTTGAAAGCGAGAATAGAAGCCTCCTACAGCAAGAAAGAGGTGAGTTGTCGTATGCTCAACAATCGCCATTGTAACTTTATTCATTGCTAATATTTGTTGACCATATAGGGACTACTTTTTGTACGAGACGCTATGGCAAGTATTCAGAAAATTCTGTGTAGCATTCAGACGTCCATTAATCGCTTTGACTCAAAGCCGCTCATTCGAAAGAAATAAACAATACTTTTGCTTACGTGTACCACACATATCAATGTAAAATACACCATACTCTTACTGCATTTTGTGGATTCGTGTTACACGAATTACCGACGGGGAAGCACCCCACATTTTCGTCGTTTGTAATCACTTTACGAGAAGTTACATACAAGCAACAACTAGTTGAGAAAATGGAGGGAGGAGATTCACGCAGTTTAACCGAGCCACCATTTATCGCACGAGTGAGCGTATCCATTAAAAGGTTTGATAGCTGAGATTCTCCAGCACTTATCTGCCTAATATGAATGATACCAGTTTTACATATTATTGTACCGGTATATGCTGTATACAGGAAGTTACAATATCTACTAGACAAGAGCACAATCTATGTGTATGGACGTTGGGGTGTTACGCTTGCTCTACTAGCACTTTATCTCGTGCGGGTGTTTTACTTAAATGCTTTCCACATCGTAACCTACGGACTGGGCATTTATCTACTAAATTTGTTCATTGGTTTTCTATCGCCTCAAGTTGACACGGAGAATGATGGTCCGCTGCTGCCACACAAGCAGAGCGAGGAATTTCGTCCTTTTACGCGTCGCGTTCCGGAGTTTCAATTCTGGTACTCGACGTTTAAAGCCGCCATCATATCGCTGCTTATGACACTGAGCAGCGCTTTCGACGTGCCGGTGTTTTGGCCAATTTTGCTCATTTACTTCATTGTGCTCTTTTCGCTTACTATGAAGCGCCAGATTATACACATGTGGAAGCACAATTACGTCCCATGGGATCATGGCAAGCAGGTTTACAAGGGCAAGAAGAACACCAAATAGATTGCCACGTAGTTACAACGGCAGGAGGCATCAATCACCGACAGAGGCTCCCAATTTGGACCAAGTTTAACAGAATGTCGTTTTCAGCTAGACTAACGGACGGTAAAAGAGCGAGCAGATAGCAGTGGTTGGCGTAGCTGAGAAATTGCCATTAATGAACCTACGTGTATCTTCATATACACCCAAATAATCTCATAGTTCTTGTATCATTTGAAAAGAGAACAAATATCACCACTTGACTTCCATTGACAGGTAATACGTGAAGCAACCGAACAAAAGTTAAATGAGTTGTCAAGGCAATTGATGAAGAAGCTGTCTATCGGCTATGTCTATGTTGCTGTTGTAGAATAGTGAAACTTGCACCGGTTGCTGTATGTAGCCGCCAAAGCTGATTTTAAGGTAAGACTACGTCCTGATAGAGTCGTTGTCGTACGCTTCCTATTCACAGCAATCCTCAATTTCAAGAAGGCTCATTATCGAGGACGTTTACGTGGAAAGCTTTAGTCCAGTGATCGACAATTGTAGTCTAGACACAAACAGGGTTTGATAGAATGCTGCTTATGCAACGTATTGTCGAATTTGTAGGAACTAGAGCTGAGCGATTGTAAAACTGTTTCTGAAACATTTTGTGCTTACACACGCCGACAAGCGCGTGTATTTGGAAGGACGAAAATTGCAGCACACCCATTGGAACTGCCTCGACAATTGATATTTAGCGCGATGGTCTCTGTATCACCATCTAATTCACGTCAAGGGCACGTTAGCCCTTGCGCAGTGGAGAACTATCACACCACTGGTCTGAATACGAAGGAATAGAATACAGGCTTCGTTTGGAATGAATTCAGTCGAATATGTAGTACTGAGAGGGCACGTTACAATGCAGCCATATCTGATAATCGGGCTAGATGGATCTTACTGTAATCCTTTTAGGTAGCCTCCTTCCTTTGCAAGCTCATAAAATATGCCGTTACGGTCTTTCACCAAATTTCGTGCACTGTCAAGCGCCACCACTTGGCCTTCACTTAGAACCATAATGCGATCCGAATCCAAGACCGTGCCCAACCGGTGTGCGATCGTCATCACCATCGCGTCCTGAAAGTCATCATTGATCATCCGCTGCAGCTTTTTCTCGGTCTCGTGGTCGACGGACGCTGTCGCTTCATCCATCACCACGACGCGACTTCGAGTCAATAACGCGCGACCCATGCACAGCATTTGTCGCTCGCCCACGCTAAAGTTCTCTCCGTTCTCGCTCAGTTCGTACGCCAGCTGGCCCTCCAATTCCGATACCTGCGCCTTTATGCCTACCTTGTCAAGTGCATTCCAGATGTCGGCGTCCGTGAACTCATCAAACGGATCAATGTAAGCTCGCAACTCACCCTTGAACAGCACCGGTGACTGCGGGATGAAGGACAGGTTTGAGCGTAACACGCGCAGCGGCAAAGTGGCAATATCGATGCCGTCAATAAGGATGCGGCCGGACACCAGCTCGTTAATGCGGAAGAGCGCCATCGTAAGACTCGACTTGCCTGCGCCAGTGCGTCCGACGATACCGACCTTTTCGTTGTTACGGATGTTGCAGGAGAGTCCTCTAAGAACTGGCATGCCGCCTTGCTTGTAGTTGAAAACAACATTTTGGAACTGAACGGTCGAGGAACGAGGCCAGGAGGTGTTGGGTTCGATGACAAGCGGTCGCTGGCTTCCTTCGGCTGGGATGGATCCATATTCGACAATACGCTCAGAGCTTACCATTTGTATCTCTACCCATGACCATGACTGTACAAGACTGTACAAGACTGGCAAGACCACTACCGACACCAAGCGCATAGGTAAATGCGAGTCCTACCAACCCCGGAGATAGATAGTCTCGCAGGTACACCAGTCCGGATACTACAAGAAAAATTGCTCCACAACCTAGCAACTGCATGCGAATTTGGAACCACTGCGATGTGACGGTTTCTGCAAACCAACATTTGCTGTTCACATCGTTGCGAATGAAATTCTCCGTGATCATACGGTCAACGCATTCCTTTCCAAATGCACGAATGACAACAACACCTTCCTCTGACTGTGTCACGTGACTCAACACCGGCGACGATGACACCTTCCACAAGCGCGAAATTTCTCGGGACGGTGCCAGATAAAAGTTGGCAATCTTAAAGTATAACCAAACTAACGGAATGACCATTGCGCCCAAAAAGTTGATAGTGTACATTGCAGTCGCTAACTGACAAACAGTAAAGAAAAACATTGCTAACAGTCCACCGAATGCAAAAGGAATCATAGAATCAACAGCAGACATGTCGTCACCGTATCGATTCACAATACGTCCGATCGGGTTTGAGTCAAAAAAGCAAAGCGGGGCCTTGAGTAGAGACAACGTCATGTTGTCAAAGAGTTGGCGTGATGAACGAAGACCGACAACTGCCACAGTTGCGGAGCGAACAAAAACCATGGTGGCAGCACCAGCTCCCAACAAGGAATACACCTCCACAATATAAGCAGCGTCATTGGAGTTGAACAAATCGCCCTTCTCGCCGGTCCAACGACTTAACCACAGATCGCTTCCAATTTGGAACACCTGCCACATTGTCTGCACCACAAACAAAAAAAATGCATACCTTTACGCCGCCAAGCGAATTTAAGTAATTCGAAAACACTTCTTTGGAAACACGCCCCTCTCTACGCTCTTCATCGTCAATAAGCCGACCAGCATTCATGTCTACGTTTACGCCACTTTCTCCATCATGGTTGGTGTTAGCCTGTTCGGAAAGAGGAGACAATGCGAGTGTGTAAGACGATCGAGAACGAGCGCCATCGTACCTAGTGACCGTCACTTTACCGCCTTCTACATAAACATTTATGTTGGCCGCTTTACTCTTAATGATGTTCAGACTGTGCGTCACCAGCACCACAGTGTTGTCCGCCAGCATATTACAGATGCAATTATCAAAGATTTGTCTTTGCACGACCGCATCCACAGCGGCTAGCGGAGAGTCCAACAGCAAAGTATCAGCGCCCGAATAGCACGCACGAGCCAAGCACACGCGAGCCTTCTGTCCGCCGGACATGTTGACACCATTCTGACCTATCTCCGTCGCATCGCCGCCAGGAAACTGCTTGAGGTCCCGGAGCAAGCCACTTGCAAAGATAACTCGGTCATAGGTCATCTTGTTGTACGGTAAACCGAATAGGATGTTATCACGGATCGTCATGTTCTGAATCCACGTTTGTTGTGAGTAGTAGGCAACGCGGCCCCGGACAAACACTTCACCTGCCATCTTGTTCATCTCACCTAATATTGCAGAACAAAGCGACGACTTTCCGCTGCCGATAGGACCATGGATGATCACTAAGTCACCTCTCTTTATCGTAAGATTAATGTAGCTCAAAAAATGCCGTATCTTTGACCCATCCAAACGTTCCATCTTTGATATTTACAATGATATCTGGAGGTTGCGCACGGTCATCTCTGGTGATATTCGCAGAGTCGTATTCATCAAGTGCCAGATAATCAGAAATACGATCCAGTGAAACCTTAGCTTGAATGCACGTTGGATCACCATTGGCAGATCTCGAAGTGGGTCGCGAAGAGCAATAAATAGCGCAATGGCTGTGAAGACCGTGGCTGCAGTCAAACATCTTCTCCATTGCTATTGCATAGACAGCAAAAGAACCAATGACACCGCTAGAGGGGAGGCCCATAGGACAAAAATATTGAGAGCACCAAGGTACATGAAACGCTTGACTGCTGATAGCTCAGTAGCGCGCAACTGGCGAATTTTATTTGCAAATTTGTCTTCCCATGCATTGAGCTTTACGATCAGAATGGCGTTGAACACCTCTTTTAAGGTCTTCATGCGGTCATCCTTGTACTTCATAATGTCTATAAACGTGTCCCCCGACAGCTTGGCGATAAGAAAACTTGCCAACATCGACGTTGCGATCACTGCAAGTCCGGCAAAGGATGCAAGACCTATAACAGCATAAAGCATAGAGGCAACTAGCAGAATTTGAAGAGGAATAATCCACAAATTGTTGATTTGAAAAGCAGCCCAGAGGACATTGTCGACGTCAGATGAAATAAGATTGGAAATGTCCAATGTCGTAGATTTGCCCTTGCTATGAATACTTCGACGCAAAGCCTTCCTGAACAGCAGCGCTTTGAGTGTCACAGTCAGTCGCAGAGCAATTAACTCGAGGTAGAATTGCATGTAAGACAAAGCAATAGCATTGACAAGTCTGGAAGCGAAAAAGAAGCCTAGCCACATACTCAAACTGTGCATGTCCATCTCTGGAGCAGCAACCGCTTTGACGACGTAGTTCAAGACAACTGGGGCGAATACATTGCATACAGTGGTAAATAGCGTGGCAAGGCCGCAAAGGAGGAATCGGCCCCCGAAGACTGTGGTCATGGCCTTGAGAATAGATTAATTGTGACGTTCATAGTGCTTTTCAAAGTCGTGAAAGGCAATGGCCGAGCAGTTTTCGCCTTCCAGTTCCCACAGGTCGTCGAAGTTAAGTTGACGTTCATTGCCAGCACTCATCATTGGGTTAGCAAATGAATAGAGGAGACGCGACCAGAAGGAAGCCGTGTCTAGGGAACACTTTGAATCATGCAGCCATTTTTCAGTGTGAATGGCATTATCGTCTTTAGTAGAAAACGTGAAGTAGCGAGACTGCTTGATTCGGCTAGCAGGTGACACTAAGGATTCGGTGTCCGACTGCAGCAATCCTGTCATACGTAATAATGAATGTGCGTGCTATATAGGACTAGTTTGCGTGTCACCAATAACTGATAGACGACGATTTTTTATCACTACGATCGATTAAGTGAGTACACGTGACAGTGTTGATATAGAATTAGATGATACAAGAATCTCTACTTCTTTTTTGAAGTGTAACCACCCATTACCAGTCATAGTACAATGTAGTTTGCAAAGAACGGTACTACATTCGACTGAGTCAATGTAGCTTGTTTATTAACTTAAATCAGTAAATAAACCTTCTTACTGTGAAGTAGCGCGTAAAATTAAGAATGCTTCGCATCAAGATGATTCCGATAAAGAACGTAGTCTAAAACATGATGCGTCGACGATAACATGCGCTATTGTATCATGCACGATACATTGAGGATAAAAACGATATCGCAGTGGAGATTAGCGTAATGGTTACGATATTTTAACCTTTCTGATGACTCAAATATCTAATTACTATTAATGACGATATTTGATCAATGGATAAAATCCTTAGCACTATTGTATACGTACAATCGACAAAAGTAAGAAATGATTCGAGTTTATTTGCATGCAATAGTGCGGCAAGTCATTCAAAGTGGAAATTTAAATTTCATCCAATCAGATTAAACCATCTCGACCATTTGTTGTAACATGCAAGTTATCTGCTAAGTCTGCGTGCGTCTCCATCGTGTCCCTAACCTTTTAGCTTCATAAGCGTCTTTTTAGTATCTCCAACCATCTCCAATCCCTCACTATTCGCTGCTATTCTCTTAAAAAGATATTTACACACGACAATAGCGACACTGCGAGTGGGGAGTGTCAGCGATGCAGAGGGATGAAGCCAAGATGTCGCGCTCACTGCCCGGCGGCTGGCTAGAGAGCGGTCACGGAGCTGTGGTTCTATTTGTTAGGGATTTTCGAGACCCACTAGAGCGCCGCAAAAAGCTTGTGCTTCGTCCGTGGGCGAGCATCAAGGACATTAAGGATCAGCTGCAGGTGGTATTTAATGTGCCGTCCAACGCGCAGAAACTTTTCTATCAGGGAAGAGAGCTCAAAAATGCGCACAATTTACAGCAATGTGGCATATATCAAGATAATGCTGTAGTTGACTTTGTAGCAAGAAGGCCGCAAAACATCGTGATGGCGTACAAACGAGAGTTTGATGAGGATCACGGCATCGATGCGAGCACTCGCATAAATAACGGTGAAGAAAGTGGTGTCAAAAGCACGACATCTTGCCAATTAAACAGAAAAACTCTGTCAAATTTGCGGCCGGATCAAATGCCTGTTGTAAACATCCACCCGTATGGAACGCATTTGCTGCCAGTAACTCTCATGAAAATGACACACCAGGTATGCTGTGGCTGTGCTGTCGAGTGCTCGTGATCTTGCTTAGGTGGTGACTTGTGTGTCATAAATGTATGAAAATGGTTTGCAAAGGCATTGCAAGGTCTCGCTTTGGGTTTAGCTCCAGTGCTGGCAATGGATGGTACCGGCGGCACGTATTTTTTCAAGGATCCATCTTACCGCAATGTTTGTTGCTTCAAACCCCAAGACGAAGAGCCTTTTGGACCTAATAATCCACGTGGATTAGTGGGCCAGCTGGGTCAGGTGGGTTATAGTAATGTCATTGTAAAAGCTTTCTGATGTCTTATTTGTCAACTATGGCCATTTTTGTATGACACATGCTGGCAAATGTTAACACTAAATACAGAGCGGCCTTCGTCGAGGAATTCTTTCCGGAGAAGCTTGTGAACGTGAGCTTGCCGCGTATATGCTGGACAAGGTATGAATACTATGTACTGAGTTTTTGACAAAAAGTGTATTAAGATGGTTATACATGGACAAACAGCTTTCTGCTACTCTTCTGGCGTTTTTCTTTTCCACTGGAACATAACTATTAATGGTGTGTTATTATTCCACTGATATATAGGATCATTTCGCTGGAGTCCCAGCTACGTCCCTCGTAGAGTCACGACATCCTGTGTTTAACTACACAGGTAGTGCAGGTGCCTTGCATTTTAAAGTAGGGTCACTTCAGGAATTCGTTCGACATGATGACGTGGTGAGCGATTTAGCACCAAATCAATTTTCGACCCACCAAGTTCACAAGATTGTGCTCTTAGACATGCGGCTTTTAAACACGGATCGGAACGATGCAAATATTCTCGTTCGCAAGAGGCAATCACCTACTACAGGCCACACGGAGTATGAATTGATACCTATTGATCACGGCTACTGTCTACCGCAATTACTGGAGATAGGTTGGTGTGATTGGTGTTGGTACAACTGGCCGCAGCTTCAGCAGCCATTGAGTGCACAAGATCGAGCATATGTACTGTCGTTGTCAGCTGAGGAGGACGCAGATTGTTTAGCTAAAAGGATCCCATTGCGGCGCGCATGTCGACGCAATATGACCATCGCCAGTATGGTCTTGCAAAAGGGAGTACGCGCAAACCTAGTATTGTTCGAAATTGCCCGGATTATGTGTCGCGAAGACTTGGACGCCCCTTCTACATTGGAGCAGTTGTGCTTCGAAGCGTTTCGTCAGGTACAGGTTGTCAAGCAGCACAAGCAAAATGAAGTGCTACTTTCTCACGGCCACATGGAACCAACAATCACACCGGTAACCAAAGCAAATGAATTGATTATTGACAAACAAGGGCGAGGAGGTTCTCCAATTGATCAATCAACTTCACCTCGAATAGCGTACAGGAATCTGCGGGTGTCGATTGATCCCCCTCCATCTCTTCGAGAACCATATTTTTTTGGGCATTTTCCTGTTGCTGGTGGTGCAAAATCTCCACCCGGATTTTGGGCAAGCTATGCTCCTTTTAGCTCGGACGAGGAAGAAGGCGACAGCAATCCCGATAGTCTGAGGCATGTTGTGCCTAATGGTGTAGGCAGGTATTCTGAAGCCATCGGAGAGGAGGAACAGCAGCTGTCGCTAACGTGGGATAATATGGCATCGCATGCTCTCTCGGACGCTGTCCAGCGTGTGGAGGTTGGACACACCACATCAATTGCAACACCTCTTAGTACTGTTGTTACCAATGTCTACATGGGCTCAATTGAGCGCGGGGCTCGATCTCCCATGTCGTCTTTTATTGGTGCCGAAAATGAAAAGGATGAGTTTGAAGTCTTGAATGATGCACTGGATGATGACGTGCAAGATGAAAACCTTTTTCTCAGTATCTTAAGCCGACTGCTTGATGCAAAAATTATCGAGGCGGCTGGAAGACGAAATCTAGAAGAACAGAAATGGGAGCGTGCAGAATGCAGCAGAGGTGTGGATATCACCACGGTGTCAGTCCAGGACTAACACACGCAAACATCGGCAGCTGTTACTGAGTTCTTTATGTGTTTTGTATCGTCCATGTATTGCTTCTCGAGTAATGTACGATTAAAATGGTGTTGCTTAATGTGTTTTGATATTGCATTACAGCAAGATTTCTCATTATCAGAAAAGTATTGTCATCCCTCTGCTTCATCGTTAACCGTTTCTTTTGCAGTCCATATGCGGCAAGAAAGACCTTCTAATTCTTTCTTTATTATAGTACAATGTCCAATCGAGTGCTGTTAAAAAGCGAATGATTTGACCAAAACTTGAACGCATTAGCATCCTCTAATCAAACGCCATAGACTTTGGTTATACAATATCCATGATCAGTGTTGATATTAATTATATCCTAGAATCACGTAGCCTTAGCAACAGTTAATGTAACTGTAAAAACTAGATGCGATGGAACAACGTTAGCTAAATTTATAAATAGGACAAACATATTAGTAACTTTTACCACCTGTTTTTTTAGCTTAATGTGCATTGTTGTTGTCGATGAATTGTCGTCTTTTCTTAATACATTGATACGTTTAACAACAATGCGTCTTTCCCAACTGACTGGAGCGCAACAACGAGAAAGCATCTTGTGATGAGATGAAATGCCATTCAATTCTGACAGTTCCCATTATTCGTTTTCCGCTTCTTCGTGTACGACCATCACCATAAAACTGATGATGGCCGCCATCGCGTTTGCGGTTGGTGCCAGCTTGGTGGCCAATGCTTTTGCTGACCCTCGAGTGATGATTGAGTCCACGTACACCGGAAAGAAAGGATTGAACGATTTGGCCAAGGATCTGGGAAAATACATGGGCACGGCCATTGACATCAAACAACTAAGTGACAAATGCCAGGCTGGGGTGTTGAAGGATACCAAAGAGTTTGGAATGATCACTCCAGCGAACTCTATGACGGTTAATGAAATTGGATGCAGAGCATGGTGCGTTTACTTGTCACTAACTTATCTTCTGTTTGTGTTGCAGTGGGATGCGATAGAAGCCAAGCGCGGCGTCTTTACGTTCGAGGATGCTGATACAATCGTCGCTTTTGCCAAAAAAGCCGGGGCTCAAGTCCGATGCAGCACTCTAATTTGTGTACGTCCTTACTGCGTGGAATGCACTTTGCGAAACAATGGCTAATGCATTTATTTCATGTTTGCAGCACAAGCAAGTACCGGAATGGGTGCAAAAACTGGAGAAAGCCGAGCTATTAGAAGCAATGTCTAACTATATTACCAAGGTTATGACGCACTTTGGAAGCTCATGCCTAATCTGGGATGTCGTCAGCGAGGCTTTTGAAGAAGACGGATCGTACCGGCAATCGTTTTGGTACAAGAAGGCGGGCATGGACTACATTTTTACCGCATTCAAGACTGCCAATACCGTGACACAAAAGCTTGGCCTTAAGAACCGATTGTACTACAGCGACTACAACATCAGTGTTATTAATAACAAGTCTGACGCGGTACTAAAGATGGTAACATCTTTGAGACGCAAAAAGCTTTGGGTGGAAGGCTTGAGTGCTCAATCGCACTACTTAGCGAGCGAATGGGTGGCGGGTGCACACATTTTCAACAACTTTCGTCGTTTTACTTCTATTAAAATGGACGTCGCGATTACAGAGCTTGATGTAAGGACAAGCTCGGCCAATCCCAATGTGACTGAACAGCAGCAACAGGTCAGCGTTTACGCGAACGTCATGTCGGCTTGCAAAAAGACCGTTCGATGCGTCGGCGTGACAACCTGGAACTTTGTGGATTCATATTCGTGGACTAAATCGTCCGCTTCGCTTCCATATAGCCAGCCCAATGGGCCCAACACACCGCTCGTACGCAAGGCAACGTACGATGCCATCGCGGATGGCTGGATCTAGGTAAATTTGGTGCCTAAGGTCAACAGCACATAAACTCAAATAGAAACATTTGAAAAAATATTTGAGGTATAACATGAGTCATACTTTTGACACATGCTGTTGCCTTGTCAACAGTTTCCGTAGCCGACCATGAGATGATTTGTTGAGCTGGAGTTACACGTGCTTTTGCTCATTTACTCAAGCTAATCTTTTAAATTTGTTCGTCTGGAAGTCTGTTGCTGTGTAAATTAAACTATGTCTTTTCAGCCATGGTAATGACCTCTTTCATAGTATCTACCACAAAGGCATTCAAGGCATCGCGCAGCTTCTTTTGTCTTGCTATTACGTAATTTTTTTGCCAATCGTGTCCATCAAGGCACGCTATAAGTATCTGTTGCAATAACGACCTTTGATCATGAAACATAAAGCCCAGCAACGATGTCAACCTAATTCATTCCGTAATCTCCTCGCAACCAGTTCATGTGCTCTGTACTTAGCATCTCTGATATTTCTGTGTTTGGTAGCGCTGACAAGACGTAAGAAATATTACCATTACAGGGTCAGACAACCAACCTTGTGTTGTGGTGTCTCATGATGAGAACCTCAAGTATCAGATACTTTATAAGGCTCATGATACACCACTTGGTGGTCATTTAGGTCGTGAGAAGATCTACAGCTCGGTGAGCACCCATTATTGGTGGCCCAAGTTGTACAAATGGGTTGGTACCTACGTACGCACGTGGGAAACGTGTCAAAGGTGAAGCCCTCGCCTAGTATGGCTGCGCCTTTGGCGAGCTGCCTGTACCCTCGGGGTTGTGACAGTCCATTAGTATGGACTTTGTGTTTGGCCTACCGCGCGATGCGACAGGCAACGCTGGGATTGTGGTCTTTGTTGACCGACTGAGCAAGATGGCTCACTTAGCGGCGGTGCAGGACTCCATTGATGGAGAAGAAACAGCTAGGCTGTTCATGGATCGTGTGTTTTGACAACACGAACTGCCAGTGGCAATTGTCTCGGATCGATACCTCCGTTTTACGGGTAAGTTTCGGGCGTCAGTCTTTAAAGTGCTGGGCACTCGACAAGACATGTCCACGGATCATCCGCAGACCGATGGTCAGACTGAACACGTCAATCGCGTTATTGGTGATATGCTTCGCAGTGTTTATGCTGAAACACCCAAGAAATGGAGCACGATGCTCCCTCTTAAAGAGTTTGCGTTAAAAAAAGCGGTGCATGCCTCAACAAGCTTCCCCTCATTCTATGTGAATGGTTTGGTTAATCCTCGCGTTCCTTTAACGCTACCCCCTGCCACATCAGGGCTTATTGGGGGAGAGATAGCCGAAGGCTTGGCTGATATCAGCTCTGTTGCGATGCGCAAGAAAGTTGAAGCGTTTCTATCAACGCGTTTTGACGTATTACGTCGTGTCAAAGACGCTATGGCTGAAAGCCAGGATGTTCAGAAGCAACATCCGGATGACAAAGGCAAAAAGAACGAACACGAAATCAAAGTGGGTGATTCAGTTGTAATTAAACTCTAGTAATTTACCTACTGTGCCGTTTCGGCGGTATACAAAACCAAATTACGTCCACGCTTTATTGGAACTTTTAAGGTCATAAGACAGAATGACTTAGCCGATACGCTGAACTTTCTGAAGAAGATGCGAACACACCCTGTGTTTTATGTGAATTTACTAAAGCCATATCTCAACCCAGCCTTGGTGGACGTCGAGGGTTGTCCCCACATCCCCGGCCGAAGGAGGCGGGTAGTGCGTCACCGGGGGTGCATATGGACCAATTTATAAAGAAAATGAAAAAAGTAAAATAGAGGACGCTGAAAGCGTACCAGGAGGTCGATGACATCGCAGTTCGGCTTGAGAACGCTCAATCGCCGTTAAGCGATCCGAGGTCTCAGAGCGATAACGCTCAAAGGATCGACGGTGTTGATCGACACGGTCATCAAGCGATGACAAGTGAGACCTCACCGATGCAAGGGCATCACGCTCCAGGAGTGTCAGGCGACGCTCAACCTCAGAAAGATGCGACGTCAATGGGTCATCGACATCCTTTGACGTTGATTGATGACCAGGGTCATCTACAGTTCCACGTGGAACGCCTCTTGGCTCGGCATCGTCATCCGGGTCATACCCAATACTTGGTGAAGTGGATGTTTTAACCCCTGTTGTACGACTCCTGGGAGTATGAGGTACCCCTCCGGCAGGATTGCCCTGACGCCGTTGACGCTTTTGATCAGGACGGTCAGAAGCGACGACAGCTGTCTCGGACGCTTTCTAGCACTAGGTGCTGTGTAAGCAAGGTCAGTAGGCTGGTTTCGCCTTTATCTTCAGAAGAAGCCAACGCCGGTACATCACTCGAGTGAGAGGTACGGGCAACAGCTTCAAAAGATTGCTCCCACAAGTCTTTGACCTGTATGTGGAGGGTAATTGACGTTTCGCTTTCAGCTTAGCGAAGTTAAAACATAGACAACGTTCTAACCAAACGTCTTGCGCTTTAGCGCTTAAACGCAATTTTGACAAGCTTGAGAGCTTACATGCTCGTTCTACCCAACGGGTGAATTGGTGATCATCATCTTGTGCCGATGTTTCACCTGGTGCAAGCACCACTGGTATGCCGTTAAGTGGGTGCACGGGCACCCCACGTGACTGTCGTGACAATAGCTCCTGATAAGATTTCATCGTAAAATCCTGGGGAGTGAAGAGCCGCTTACGAAGAGCAACACTATTTGCATCCTCGGAAGCCGTGCGCGCATTCTTCGTACCCTTCAGCTGCCTTCTGGGCCGTTTGCGACGCACTAGCCTTGGCCATCACATACCCTGTGAACAGGTCGACCCAAATTAGTAGCTCGCTATTTCCTCTATGCGACCTGGGCCGAGAGGGAATGTGATCCATCGCTATGATCTGGAAAGGGTATGTTGCTTCGACATTCCCTGGAGTCTTGCCCTGCAGGGTAGGTCCTCCCTTTCCTGTCTCACAGTCCACATGTTTTTACATATCTCTGTACGCTTTAGAATAAACCTCTTCAATGGCAGTACCGTCGGATTCGGTGATAGGTACGTCCAACCCCTTGGTGACCTCCTTCCAGACTGGTGTGGTAGTGATGCAGGACGTCGGCTTGGAGACTTTCGGGTATCACTAGTCTTGCCGTTACTTCTCGGTCGTCTCTCTTGACTCTCTGACCGGGACAATACAATAGTAGGCCCTCTTCAATTATCTCGTAGTCTTTGGCCATATTACTGCAAGATTGAGCGGTGTCCATGGATAGGTCGACCCAATCTCCTTTCAAGTAGGCCTTCAAATCTTGCACCCAGTCCTCTTGCTCTTGGGCCTCCCTGATTCGATCTGTCCGGAGTCGTTTTATCACACCTTCTTGCCGAGTTTCTCCTGACATCTTGATGGAAGCTCGAGACCGAGTCACCGCAAGCACCCTTGGCCGATGGACTTTGGTCCTTCGGAACTAGTGGCAATCGATCAATCGCTTCCAAATTCGGTCCTCTTCCGGTATCGACTTTATACCTTACTTCTGACGCAGAGCTGTGCTGGCCAATTGGTCGGCACTCTGATTCCAATCACGTTTTACGTGCACGATTCCTTGTATGGACCATGACGACAGCTTATTTAAGGCTCTCGCTTGTAATTGCGACAATCCTGCAGCCATACACTCGATCTCCCCCCGCATTTGTCGTACCACTAAGTTGGAATCTCCACAGATAATTAGCCGCCGTCGTTCTAGAGGCTCTAACAGGTCGAAATGCAGAAGCATACCCTCATACTCGGCCTCATTCACTGTAAAGGTGACAAGTAACTTCGAGGCAGCCTAGACTATGGTCCAATTAGGTAATCTCCACACAATAGCGCTACAGGCTCCACCTCCCTGTTTCACTCGAGCGGACCCATTAAAGCTCATGACGTATAACGCTTCGTCAGGCTCCACAGTTGGTGTAGGCAGGTCGATTACTTGTCGTGCCTGTTTCTTGGGGGCAATTGACGACAAAATCGAGTCCACACTCTCACGAGGAGTAGTACTGGCTGCGAGCTCCCCCAGTACTTGGTCCTCGCCTTTCTTGCATTTGTCAATCTCCATAGTCGACTGGAACAATAGGGCAGCCCAATTACCACGTCTACCCTGTAAACCCGTAGTCCTGGGTCCTCAGTCGATAGGCGTTGGCCCTTCGGTCCACGGACTCTCGGCTTCTCGGTCTTTTGGCTTCTCGGTCCCTCGGCCCCTCGGTCGATATATTCTAGCCAAGCAGAATCAAGAATCAGGTCTCGAGGGTAATGATAGAGTAGAGAAGTGTAAAGATAGGACCATATTAAATACTACTCAATTTGCGATCGATGTAGCACACCTCCGTCGTGCCTTTATGGTACCGACTAAGTCTACCCTCCTGTTCCGGGAAGGGATACATTTTGGCCCCCTGTCAAAGACAGTTGTGTAGTAAGACCCAAGCGTGAAAGGAGCCCCAGGATACATTTGGTCTGTGAATTCGTATGAGTAGCACCCCTCCCCCCAACTCAACCCGATATCGGAAGCGGTCTCTCTAACTTAGTGGTCCGGGAGAAAGTAAAGGCCAGGCGGTTAACACCCCTGAGATATCAAGCGAAAGGAAGGGAAAGGCCAGGTTGAGAATCTCCCCAGAAGAATTTGGTTATAAGTCCACACTCGACCTAGTCGACCGAGCGGCAACCTACCCGTCTACCGAGCGGCACCAAATGTCGACCTCTCTCAAGGCTGAGATCACATCTCAACCAAGTCCTCCGAAGAGTGCAACCCACTAGCCGACGGGTACACAAGGTGAGAGAGGTCTGTTCGTGGCATCGGGGTACCCCTCCGACAGTCGGCAGTCCGGCACAGTGATGGCTTGAGATCTCATTACGCAGTTTTGAGAACTCAATTTACCAGAATGGTGCGCGTCCCCGAATCTTTGGAAATGCGGGATATCTCTGCAAGTCCCAAGAAGATGTGGATGTTCAAGCAGAGATTGAGGAAAACACAGATGAGTCA